GGCTCTGCGAGGGTTGGAGCTTCAAAACCGAAAAGATAAAAAATTTCGGGTCTTCGGGCACTTCGGGATGTGTTTCGGGTGTTGGAAATGATACCGAGGCTTCGGGGGAAGTCAAAATAGTCAAAATATAAGTTTAGGGGTGAAAAATGCCAATTTTCCAAAATTACCCAGGAGATCTTGCAACCCTTCTATTTATAGGGGAGATCCGGAGCTTTGGCCGATAAGGGACACGCGGCAGCGAGGGGGCGAAGCGTGTGGCAACAGGTGCGAAGGCCACGCTGCTCGTGCGAGGCTCGGACGTGGCTCAGATGCGAAGGGCGCGTCGGAGGCTGGTAGGCGAGACGTGGCTCGCTTCGGACATGCCACGTATGCGACATGCGTCGGTCTCGGACTGGGCCACAACTCGGATGATGCAGTTGCTTCGGACATGGGTGAGCAGCGAGGCGAGGGTGACGTGGCCGGATCTGTACCATGCGAATTTCTCGGAAATTGCACCCAAAACTTCTAAAATTCATAACTTTCACATACGAGCTCCGTTTTTGATGTTCTTTATATGCACACGTAGGCGGGAATATATGCTACAACTTTCGTTTAGACTTTGTTGGTTAATTTTGACTTTATCTACATTTGTTTGATATTTCATTATAGGATTATTAAGACAGCAAAATCCATCTCTGATTGAAAACGAATCTGTTTGGATTTATAATTGGTTTAGCTATAGAGGATAGAGCATCAGTTTTTTTTTTTTTCTGTTTACAATGTTTTAACATATGGGATTCATTAAATATGCACATTGGTTCGTATGTGTCGATTTAAATTTCTTTAGTTTGCAAAGTATTTTGACAGTAAATGTTTTCTACACACTTCTTAATAAACTTATTAGAAGGAGGGTAAATTCGTAAATTTGCATGTTCCCCCTCCTTCCTGTCGGTTATAGCAATGTCCTTTAAGAATAAATAATATGTCATATGCTATTACCAAACCTCTCTTGAATAATTTCATTGATGATAGAGTAATTTGATTTTCATATAATTAATGTTGCTATAATTATCTCAGTTTTTTGTTTCAACTCTCTACATTTGTTTTATATTTCATTATAGGATTATTCGGATAGTAAAATCAATCTCTGATATATTAATGAATCTGTTTGGATTTATAATACGGATTTGATATTATTCATGGTTTTTTGAATGACTTGGAGATTACTGAATTTGTTGTTGTGTCTTATTACATTTTTTTTTACAAATGGAGCAATTTGCATTTTTGAATGACTTGTGTTTTGTTTACCCTGCATTCTCCAGTTTCTTCTTTTTATTAAATATGATTTAAAATTATGTATAGCGTCTTTCTTTCTTGATTACATTTCAAACAATGCTAATTGTTTTTTTAAATTCGTAGCAATGTACTTTCATTTAACATAAATTTTGCATTTTTATGACAAAAACATTCCATATTACCTCTATGTTTTGACACCAACTCAACATAACTTTGAGAAAGTCATTGAAGATTAATATTTTCAGCAACCTTTTGCCAAGAAATATCAATTGATAGCAGAGTGCCAATATCAAACATTATTCATCTTCAAATCTATTTGTTTTGATGCAATCAACAAAATACAAGGTCAATTCCTACTACAATGTAGGATGATTTTCTGATTGTCAATGTTTAACACAAACATGTTATAAATGTATTTAATTAATATTGTTGGTCTATGAAGAGAAATTAAATCAACAGTATCACTATAGAGTACAATCACCAAACAAATCTAAAATAAAGAATCCTAAACGACCACATCAACATACTCATTGAAACAATTATTGTGTAACAAAAACCTTATTTAACAACAAAAATGAAAAATTAACAATGTAAGTCATCATATCAACAAGTAAAATACCAGTATATTTTGTCTTTAAGAATATAAGCACGATCAAGTAAACTTCAACATAAAATGAAATAGATGTGAAGCGAAAAGTTAGGGTTTCCGATTAGACTAAAAGTTGAAATTCGCATATCAGGATAGACGAAATTGATAAAGAGAATTTAATAGATAAAATAGATTCGGTGAGGAATCGGGTTTGCCTGTAAACGACGGCGAAAAACGGTGAAAAAAATAAGACATGTGGTCAGAATCAATGAAATTACGCTTTATGAAGGAGTTTTGTGAGTTCCATCTTTTGATTATCGGATTTTGCATATCCAACTTCTAGGTCTCTCCCTCCGCCGCCGTCAATCTGGTCATTGTCGGTTTCATTTAATTACATACAGGCGAGAATTAAGACAGCAAACACAATCAGACCCAAAACGGCAGCTAAACCTCCGAAGAAGTATGGGACCGGTGTGTGCCACACCGATTGTTTAACCACTGCCTGCGACGAAGGAGCCACTGTCATCACTGTTTCTTCAGTTTTGCTTTTGGTGACGTTCGATTAGATTATAAAGTGAAGAGTTAGGATTTGGTGGATGAGTAGATCAGGAAACAGTTCCATTTCAAAGAGTATTCATATTATTAAATCTGATTTTTATCGTTCATTTTTTTTATTATTGTGTAATTTAATATTACATACTTTTTTAATTATCAAATTGGAATTATATTCCTTTTTTAAAATCTAATATTATGGTTAATGGAATATATATGGGATTCTTACATAATTGTTAATTACAATCTTCATATGATATAATAACGATATTTGAATAATATATTTACTTTTATAACCAACTTTTGTGTAGCATCTTTTAATTATTTTTAGCAAATCACACTTAATCCATCATATTACTTTATTTATTTATAATTATGTATTGTATTTTTTTTATGTTAATTTCATTACACACATGGGTAAGGCATCATCTCCGTATGTTTAATGAGAATCATACACCAAAAATCAAAATTTTAAAAATCTCTATTTGTAATTAAATACATACAATTTAGGGAAATCTCCAATAAAATCCTAAAATTTTGGTCCGATTTACGTTTTAGTCCTAAACTAATTTTTGTTTACGAAAAAATCCTAAAAACCGGCAAAAGTATGCATTTTGACCCCTTTTGACCGGTTGGAACCGGCAACAAATTAATTTGGGACTATTTCATAAACTAACATAAAATATTGGGACTATTTCACAAAATGATCTAAAATATTGGGATTTTTTCTGCAAAAAAAATATTAGGATTTTTCTGCAAACAAAAACCTTATTATTATTATTATTATTATTATTATTATTATTATTATTATTATTATTATTATTATTATTAGTAATATTATTATTATTATTAGTATTATTATTATTATTATAAACAAGTATACTAATTTTTAAATTCATTATTATTAATATTTTTAATAATACATATAAATACACTTAAATAAAAATATATTAAAGAAATTATTTAAAGGTGAAGGTGGTGGTGATGGTAATGCTTTAAGCATTGAAATCACTGCTTGTATGTCCTCACTTTGTATATGACCATTTCACATTTCTTATTATTGTTTTCAATTCAAAATATTAACACTTAACAATTTAAAAGAAGTTGCTTATTTGTAAAATTATGTATAAATAGTTTAAGATAAAAGGATTTCTCACTTTGTATATAAAATTTCTTAAGGTAGAATGATTTCTTTTCAAATCCAACAGATCCACAATAAATATTTACATTGGTGGCCCATATCAAAATTCGAAAATATTAATTAAAATATCTTATTTAATAGAAAGTAATATGATTTATTTTGCTTTATCACACTATATCAGCTATGTTTCCAAAAAAACCACAAGGATAAAGTAATGAAAAAGAGCAACACATATGTTGGTAATTCAAAAATACTTACACACAAGACATACACGCATATCACATGCTCACTATTTGTAAACAATTTGAAAAAATCAGTAGCTTCTTTTAAATTGTTAAATGTTAATATTCTGAATTAAAAACAATAATAACAAATGTGAAATGACCATATACAAAGTTAGAATATACAAACAGTCATTCATGATTTCAAAGCTTAAAGCATTACGATCCGCTCAACCTTCACCTTTATAAAATGTCTTTAATATTTTTTTAATTTATATTTATTTATATGTATTATTAATAATATTAATAATAACAAATTTAAAAAATAGTATACTTATTATATTTTTAATATAATAATAATAAGGTTTTTGTTTGCAGAAAAACAATAATATATTTTGTTTTTGCTGAAAAGTCCCAATATTTTGGGTCAATTTATGAAATAGTCCTAAATTAATTTGTTACCGGTTCCAACCAGTTAAAAAGGGTCAAAATGCAAACTTTTGCCGGTTTTTGGGACTTTTTCGTAAACAAAAATTAGTTTAGGACAAAAACATAAACTGGGCTAAAATTTTAGGACTTTATTGGAGATTTCCCTACAATTTACTGTGTAATTAAACATGTACAATCAAAAAATTATTAAAATATGCAATATTACAATTCATAAGTATTCTAAATTAATGAAATATTATTTTATTACATAATTAATTTTTAAATTCAATTTAAAATTAACACTCGTGGGTTACACGGGTTTTAACCTAGTGTGTGTGTGTGTGTATATATATATATATAATATATATATATATATATATATATATATATATATATATATATATATATATATATTAAGCATATTGCCTCTTTTTTGAAAATAAGAGGTACAATAACTATTACCTCATGTACAACAAAATTAAGCTTAATCACATCGTTAACGTATTACACGGTATTATCTTATATCCAATGTTACCCTAATCCCCTCTACAGATAAAAGCCGCTATCAAACTACTCATTGCCACCACATGGCCACAACCTCCTAAAGACATCGCCTTCATTTGGAATCGATGAGAGCTGTTGCTTCTTTGGGTTTAGGTCTTCCAAGATTTTTGTACAATTTCCCTAAATTATGTTAATCTCTCCTCCGATTGAGCCCCGTCGTACATAATATACACCGACTGAAAGTCGACCATGGGCCCGGGTAAAACGAGAGGCGACCGCGTCGCCGATGGAGATGCGGGTGGAGAAAGTATTTGCACTAAGAACTAAACGCATATCACAACCCGCCACCATAACTCCTCTTCGTGGTGTTGATGTGTGTATATGCATCTGGATCTGCTCACCAACATCATGGTTTTTTCTGCTTTTTTATACAATCTACGTCGCCGTTTGCTACTCCGCCTCAACCACCATCGTTTTTCACCACTGCATACATACACAATCATCTGCTTGATTATCTCTCTACACCCCAACCATTGGTTTGTTGCCTGCTCCGCTCAATCAAGATTTTGTAGGTTAAAATCCACCTTCAAAATCACACAGAATCAATCAGTAGATTACGACTTCTATGGGAGTTAAAAGGCGATTCATTTATTATTATTATTATTTTAAATCAAAACTAATCATATCGTGATTTAGGGAGAAACATAGAAACAATCATCTGCCTGGACCGCTTCACTAACTAGGCAACTCGCTCCCAAGAAGGTAGACATCATCTCTTCAATTTGATTCTTGAATCTGAACCTTCGTGATTTAAGGATAGAGGTTTTTTTTTTAATTTCTTTATCTTCTTATATTTATCCCAGTGTGTTTCTATTTCGTTAAAAAAAATTAGCATCAATTGGAAGATGCTTGGCATTGGAATTTCTCAACGCCATCGTGAATTGACGCCTAATCGAAGTCGCTACCACCACCTTCAATGCCAGTTAACGCAACCACCACCACCACTACTCTCATCCTTCTCTCTTTTCTATTTTCTCACTCGATACCGGTCTGAAGGTAAGCAATGATTCTATATTTCTTTCACTCTCAATTCCGATTTTAAGGCAAGCAATTGTTCTCATCTTTCTTGAATTGATTTTTTTTCCTGGAGCATAACGTTCAGAAAGATTTGTCAACACCACAGATCTTGTAAGTTTCTCATCTTATTGATTCATAAGAAAAACTTATGCCATGTATCTGATGAAAATGTGTATGTATTTCTATTCATTTCGTACATAAAATTTTTATTTGGTTGATTTGGGTGTTAGGGTCTCCTATTTATATAATAGGATGTATCTTGATCTCTTTTTCTCTATAAATATGTGTGTGTTGATTTCTTGTGTGTTAACCGATTTTGTCAGCTAAATTATGTAGGAAGACAAAAAAGTCAGAAAGGAAGAAGCCAAAACGTGAGTTTATTCAAGCTTCATATCTCTAGGTTTGTGTAACTGATGAAAGAAATGGATTTATGTTTAATTATTTTTACAATGACTAACATTTTTCTGATTTCTTTACCCACCTGGATTTAAAATGGTTTTTATCAGAGTACTTGATTTTTTGTGTATTATTTAATAAAGGCCAATATGTTTTTTGGTGTTTCAATGGATTAAAATTTGTGTACGCATTACACCGTTAAGATTTGGTACTACCTGAAAAATGCCCACCATTTGTGAAAATAGTTGATGATATGCCTATTTTACACTCTTTTTTCTTGGGTATGATAGCAAAAAACATAAAAATCATGAGGGTATTATGGTCTTTTATGATAATTTAGGGGATATGATTGTAAGGATGATGTTGGTTTATAAATCCTTAGAGTTGGCCTAAAAAGGTGGTGACATGTTGTTGGTTCCATGGTCATGGCTAGAATATAATTCTTATTTTCAATTGATGGTTATCTCAATAGTAATTTCAAATTAGAAAGTTTAGAACCATGTTTATGGTTTGTATTGACTATTCTACCCTTTTAAGCAGAAAACTATCTAACAAAAACATGTCTGGAAGTATCCTTTCTACAGTTGGTTGTGTTGAGTAGCGTAGAAGAGTTGTAAGTTTCATTTAATTATGTATTGTGGTAGGTGAGGGGTATATTGGTCATAAATTATAAATCAAAATTCAGTGGAGTGTGAGCCATCCAACATAAACACAAATGAAAAATAAAAATTGTATGCTATGAGTGGTAGGTAAATACAACCTAAGAGATAAAGATAAAGAATTATGTAAAGCAAAGATTTACCGAAGTAATTTTAACCTCTTCCAATCCAATTTCCCATGTGGATTAACCTCCATGTTCATTAGAATTTATGCCTTTGATCCAAATAAATTTGATTTTTTTAATTATTTTGGTTAGAACATGTAAATAGTGAAGAGTCATTAGAGTTGTATTTGTTTTTAACTTGTGTTTACCTTCTTTTTATTGATTTGGTTATGTTTCTGAGTTACAAAACCATTCAGTTGATTGATAGCAAATTTTTTTTTTTTGAAAATATGCTTATAAACATTACTTATGCTTGAAGTTGAAGTTGATAATTGATCTATCTATTTGGAAACCTTTAGTATATACCCCTTCAAGATGTTATGAGGATATTAGGCTTAAGAAATCCAAGCATATTATTCTAAATTTAATGTATTCACCATAGTTCTACCATTTTCACATCAAAAAATAACGTATAACTAGACC